CCCCCCCATTTTTCCCTTTCTTTCCATCATCATAACTATTTGCCCGGCTGCCTCATTGTTAGGATGTTCTGCTAACCTTGTTGTCAGTAGCCATCTGTCATTACACTCCTCCTCACCTACCCAGGTTTCAACATTCGTGCAGTTTTCTTGATTTACTCCCATCAGACAATTGCTTACTTCCAGCGTATAATGCTTCGTCATGGTAGGTTTCCATTCGGCCTTTCGAAATCACAACCCATGGCAACAAAATAAGTATATTCCACCAACAAATGTTCTTTTCTTCTTTTCTCTGTCTTGATCTTTCTCAAATCCTCATATATCTCTTGTCACCGTCTAAACATCAAGTTCTAAAGTTGCCCTCTCTCGCCTGCCTTTCCCATAACTTTCTCTTTCCGTTTTGGCCCGGACATTGAGAGTCAATTGGGTTCGACGTTTGTTAGGAGATTTCTACATTTGTCTTCTGTTCTGAAATCTGTCCAGGTAATATTTCCGTGTCTGACTTTGCCATAAAGACCAATGGAACAATCAAACATGTGCACGTGCAGTGACAATAAAAATAATGATGATTTCATTGTAGTTCCTGCCACTGAACGTATCCCTTGCCATTGCACAGGCCTTATCATTTCACCAGGATTCATATTCAATGATTATTTGAACCCAGCTGTATTCGTCTCATTTCTTGCTTTGCATGTGTGTAATATCATACGTACACTCTACTATGAAAGGTGCAGACGGCTAGGGGAACGAAGTGAAGGGTGTGTACTCGGGGAGGGGAGGGGGGAGGGGGAGGGGGAGGGGGAAGGGGGACGAACATTTGTCGCGAACATACAGTAGTTCAGGTGTGGTACATGTACTACCACATTCATAACTGCCCGAGCGAGGTGGGACTAGGGGTGTGCGGATAATGCTCGAAAAGGTGGCAGATTCTGCTGGAAAAGCAGTGAAATTGGCAGAACCATACAAACCTTATGGCGGGCAATTCCTCGAATTCTGCTCCATTTCTTTATCCACATACCAAACATGCATGACACTTCCAGAAAAAGTACCGAATTCTGCCAATTTTTCTGCTGGCATTATCCGCATATGGCTACATTTATATAGGTGGGACTTGTCGGCAGAACTTTTTCAACAGGCCTCTTTTAGCAGCAAAATAGACACAATAAAAAAGTCTCGCAATAAAAGTCTCGCTTACGGTATTTTTTTGTCGGCCCACAACTATAAGCATAGTGCAGTCCACAGGGTACATACATGTATTAGACACCCTTAGCAAACAACGGTAACGCTATTTTTTACGGTACTCGTACCTTGATCACCCAAATAGCGTTGAAGCTGCAGCGTATAAACGTTATGGGGGCTGATTTATCGTTGTGACCAACGGTACGTGTTTTGGCCAAATATTGCATAGTCCGTACGCATTTCACATATATGGTGACAAAAATGGTTGTACCGCGCGAAATGCATGGTACACTTTTAGATTTTTTTGGAGGATGTAAAATACCAATGATCAAGTCAAATGAAAAAGAAGTTAAGGAGGCTCACACCTAAAGAAGCAAAAATAACAGCTCCATGGACACCCTGTTTTTTATGCATCAATGGTGGAGTGATGCCTCCTCTTCAATTTGGTATAGTTTTTAGGTAGGGTCACCAGGCATATAAGAGGTATTCTGGTGTATTTAGTGAGTGTACAATTTCTTTATTTTCGACAAAAAAATGGTAAAAAATGGTTTTTGACCCAAAGAAGCCTCCTGGCCTGGACAGGCGAAGCGCCAGCACCCCAAATCAAGACATTTTTTATTTTCCGTGGCGGGAAATCGAGCTTTTCCAGGTATCTACAGCCTGTAGAAATTCAACGCTGAGAATTTCCAACTATTGTCCGGCTTTGGTCCTCTGCCACCGACCTATCCTTTGAAGGAGAATGCTGAAACCAGTTGGTTGCTCTTCAGTAGTTCTTTCTCTATCGTACACATATTTTTGTATGTCGACACATGCTGTGTGCGACGACGTAGACACTTCTCAACACTTGAGTGACTTGAATTTGGCCATGATGACCGAATGTCATTGGACCGTGGAGTCGAGTAGAGGGCTCAGGCTCGATCGGTACAACGGGTACGTATAGCACAAGGGTAGGGCCAATGATATATCAAGTTGTTTGCTGTGCACAACCTTGGGGCGGAATTCGGCACGAAATTCTCTGCTCGCCACCTGTTGAGTATACCATGCAATAAGTAGGTTTAAACTCATGTTGCAGTGCTATCACGGTTGCAACCCTCTTTCAAATGTTGACATAGCCAACAACCACATAATCCATATCAAATCTTGCCCCTTGTTTTCTTTCTAGGTGTGAAAAATAGAAATAATACCAGTCCTAATCATTGGAAAATGCAAATCACGGTCTATTATCGACATATCGTACTGTCGCGGATATGGAAATCCAGTCGATTGACCGGGGCCGGCGCCCTCAGCGCGTACAGAACGTTGCGTGCAGTGCACATGTTGATCCAATGCGACCATCAGCAGCGCATGATAAACCGTGCTACGGCTGCATGGCCAGCGCCCTGGGGCCGCTATACGTGCGACCGGATTTCCATGTCCACGACAGTAGTACCATGCAGCCTGGTAGTGCATTTGGAGCAGGAAAGTGAATGGTAGCACTGCGGTGGTGAACACATGAGCTGATGACCACCATCGTCGTCTTGTTGGTTTGTGTTGTCTCCAGTTCATTGCAGGTTGAACGAGGAATGAACGTCTAATCTTTCTTTCCAAAACTGGCTGGGCACACGCCAATGAGACGGAAGCTAGTGCCAAACCAGTCCTTGGAAGTTTTGTTGTGCTGCTGGACTTTCAATCATCATGTAAAGTATATTCCGGTTTCTGAGTCTTCGTGTGCGCCTGAAGAGCTACACTGTGTAGAGATGTTGGAAGTTTATCCTGCTCACGACACTGCACCAAGTACAAGCACTTCCTTGGCACTGCCTGAGCCCTGTTCTGTGTTTACTGTGACCAGGAGAAGCAACTAGAAATTTGGAGCTTGAGCTGGAACGCGGGTGCTCTCTCTCTCTCTCTCTCTCTCTCTCTCTCTCTCTCTCTCTCTCTCTCTCTCTCTCTCTCTCTCTCTCTCTCTCTCTCTCTCTCCGTCACGTTCTGCCACTGTCCGAAACCGGTGCATGTGCTAGCATGTCGAAGCGCATTGTGTCTGAGTCACGCACTCACTCTCCTGCTCCTCCCTCATATGCCCAATACAGAATGACCAACTGTGAATACAGTTCATGCCCACATGTGAACTTGTGTGGTTCTCTTGTAGTAAGCTGCCACGTGTCTACTTGCACGTGTTGTGTGTGTGTGTGCGTGTGTGTGTATCTATGGGACTGCGTTCTCCTATTCTCTCTCCGTTGCCTTCGAGGCCCACGCAACCCTTGTGGCAGTGGCTCGACAGCACAGGGCAGGAGTGTGCGCGCGTGCATGTGTAAATGTGGGTGTGTGTGTGCGCGCGCGTGTGCATGCGCATGTGTGGGTGTGCGCGCGTGCATGCAGATGTGTGTGTGGGGGTGTGCGCACGCTGATGCTCAGCTCTCCAGAATGTTGTCCGTGTGCGTAGCCAGTGTATGGTGGCAACATAGCCTTCCTTCATGTATATGTGTATGCGCATACTATTTTGGATGCTTTACTGTTTTTGGTGGGATCCAGTTACATAGTTTTCTGCTCAATTATTTATGTTTATACAGCTGCTGTATTTGTAGTGCAACTTTATGTCTTTCTGCTGGTCAATTTGTCGTCTTGATGGTGTTCTAATACTGATATACATAGAAAATATTCCCCCAAGAAAGTGTGCTCGTTGTGAAGTTGTCCTTCTTTGGGCTCAAACCATTGCTCGTGTATAGGTAGATACATATCAGTGGGTTCGATTGGTGGCGAGAGGTCAGCCTAAATTGTTTGGGGCGGAATTCGGCACGAAATCCACGCTGAGTACTTTTTGACGACGAGTTGCGTCGGTCTTGAAAACTCTGGCGAGAAAGCGAGGAAAATGATGTCGCTTGGAGCTTTCCGCGAAACTTAGGGCAGCTAATGCCCGCACCTTCCCAAACATTGCCTCGGAACAAGACAATACCACCAGGGAAGCTCTTGTGAGCAAGGGATAAAATAGTCTCTTTTTGGCGATATTGAGCTGAGTTTCAAATTTCCCGGGCCTGGGGTGGGATTTGGACAATAAAAGTGCAACTTTTAGGGATCTTTTTCGGTGCTGGCGCTTCGCCTGTGGAAGGAGGATACTAAGTATTTTCTTTGTCACGTGTTTAAGGGGGCAGCCTACCCACAAATTTCATATGGCATTCAATTGACTGTAACTTTGGTGTTTCTCAATGGATTTGAGTGACATTTTGACCACACACTCCTGCCACTATGCTGGCCCTCAGGACATGATTTACAAGTTCTTGCGCCTCACTGACAGGCTTTCCAGGCCGGAAAAACTCAAATTTCCGGCATAGTGCCACGGTGTGCGAGCCACCCAGGAGCCAACAAATGCATTTACAATTTTTTCACATTTTCGTGCTCATTCTGTTCGTGCGCGGGACTCAAACCTAGAACAAGTCCAGAAGCAGCCATGGGTGATGGGGTAGGGCCCCTCAACGAGGCCCTGGAATCTGTCACAACGGAACGAGTGGGCGTTCTCTCACACACTCCCACAGACCCAAGTCAATTTTTGAATTTTGTTAGGTTTAGCACGTGCTACGAGGTCGTACCTTTGATACAACATCCAGTGCTGGGACCTCCACAGCAAGCCATTTCCACAGCGCTGCACACCAAATCCAGGATACCCTCAGAAACCGGCAAAGACTAACACTCACGTTTCACTACTGCCTAGTACTGAATCCTACCTGACTTCTTGACACGACTCAAACTTGCCAAAGTCACTAAATCAACGTCAACTACAATATTAGAGAGGTTAAGATGCACGTTATTTTCGACGTGACGCGCAATTTCACGTCAAATTTGGCGTAAAACTC